TATACATGTGTATATATACATATATGTATATATGTATACATGTGTAGATAGGTGAATGGATGGAGAGAGAGAGAGAGGGAGAGGGAGACGGAGAGAGATTTCACCCTTGGGATATCAGGAAAGGTAAAATATAGACTGCTGACTGTAATTAAAGGAGCCAGGTTCAAATCCAGCCTTTGATGTTTACTGCCTTTGTGACCTTGGACTTAACCACCCTGGGTTTTTCTAATTTGTAAAAATAAGTTGGTTGGAGAGAAATGGCTTCTGAGTTCCTTCCCTTCCCTATAGCCTAAAGGTCTTTCCTCTTCTAGCCTATGTATAGGACCCCTTCAAGCTGTAAATGATATGATTCTATGAAAATTATATGGGCTAATATTCCAACTATCTTTTATTCACTTCTCACGTTCTAAGGTCTCTTTCTGCTCTGAAATTCTGTATTCTAAGGTTCCATCTTGGAGGAGTGCCTTAGGGGCAAAGATGGAAACTGACCAGACCTGAAATACTCACCCAAAGTGGACTAGAGGAGATGTGATATAGAAGGATACCTAAGTCCTTAAGGAAGTTAAGCAGATTGATCAAATTCTGAAGTCTCCTTTGGGCCAGACTCTGATGTTGCTCCATATATAGTATAGTGGGAAATTAAATCCAGAGGTTAAATCCACTTACCAGCTGATCAGGGTCATGTGACTTCAGTCGAGTAACTTTACTAGTCTGAACCTCTGTTTCCTCATTCATGAAATGGGATAAACATTGCCCTAAATACCTCATGGACTTGTGAGGGGAACTTTTTTTTTCTAGACTGGATGCCCTATAGAAACGTTGACAATTCTATTAATAATAATTAATAATAAATTAAAAAGTGTTATAGCAATGAGAGCAAGTTACAGGAGTAGGAAATGGGGTAGTGTGGGAGGATGGAAGGAAGAGGCTAGGACTCCAACAGATGTTATCAGATCAGTCTGGGCAGAAATGTGGAGGTGGAGGCGGAGGGGGGAGGGAAGCAGGTTACAGAACTTTAAGCCCAGAGAAAGGGAGAAAAAGATTGGTGAGACAGAGAAAGGATTTGAGTTGGGGGGATGGGACAAGGAGGCGCTTTCTTTGCCACCACTTATTCTGGGATATTTAGTCTGGGTCAGAAGGGAGTTAATCGTGGAAACACAGAAGTCCTGGGCCAGGAGCCCAAGAGGGCGGCACCCAGGGCAATGAGCAGATGTATCCCCAAGTTGGTCCAAAGACCTCCTCCGACTGAGATGCTGATGCCCCATAGTTCTTTCCTGGACAGGGGAAGAGGCGGTTATCTGTGAAGGATATCTTCTCCTCTCCCCTGGGGGCAGTCTCCCCCATCCCCATCCTTGTGTCCTCTCTAGGGATTCCACTCGATTGGGAATTATATGGCTCACTTCTGGAATTTAGGGAAATTCCAGGCATGGGGCCAATTATAATAATAATTTAGGATTACATGAATTAGAATAGGAAGGAGCCTAAACAAAACCTCCCATTTTATACAAGAGGAAACTGAGGCCCAGAGGGGGTCCAAGGACAAACAACTAGTAAATAGTTTAACTGGGATTTCAACTCATGTCTTCAAATTACAAATATGGTGCTGTTTTCATTATACTATACTCTCACATTTATATACCACTTTGTAAAATAAATATTATATAAATGTAAATCATTATTGTTGTTGCTATGATTTACAAAATACTTTACCTACTTCTTTATCTGTAAAATGAGAAATGTGGACTAGATGACCTGTAAGTTCCCTTCTGGCTCTAAATCTATGATCTTATGATTTTCACTGACATTATTTCATATGATCCTCACAATAACCCAATGGGAAGGTAGCAGAGGTCACATTGTCCCCATCTTATGGATGAAAATACTGAGGAAAGAAGTGACTTGTCCAAGGTCACGTAGCAACAGAACTGGTATTTGAACCTTCATCTTCTAATAATTCCACATTCAGCATGATTTCCAATATGCCACTGACCCTTAGCACCTTCATTTCTGCTCACAACTCAGTAGCCTGGGGTATGTCAAAATAAGAAGTAGTTCTTCTGGAAGAACAGAACTCACCATTCCCCAAAGACTTAAGGAAATTAAGCAGATTGATCAAAGTCTGAAGTCCTCTCTTGGCCAGACCTTGCTGCTGATCCATATATAGTATAGTGGGAAATTAAATCCGGTGGTTAAATCCATTTACTAGTCAATCAATAGGACATGTGACTTTAGTCATGTAACTTTATCATTCTGAACCTCTTCACTTCTGTGAAGTTTGGATTCAGTCAAAGGGCCACACTTGAGGGCCTAGAGAGCCACATGTGGCCTCGAGGCCATAGGTCCTCCACCCCTGCCATACACTTTCATCCTTAGAAAATAACCTCTACCTTCTCTAAGTCATCTATTCACTCCCCCTTCCCCACACTTGCAGATAGGACACAATTACTCCCCTACAACACACACACACACACACACACACTTTCCTTCCTTTCAATCACCCCTTCACTACATATACCTCCATCATCATCCAATTATAAATACATCCAAATCACCCCCAATCATATACTCCCCAAATCACCCCAATAAGCTCAATTATAAACAATCTCATATGATAAATATCCCTTGTAATCATTCTCAATTATATGTACCCATAATCACACACACACACCCCTCCCACAAGCTGGTTAAAACAGGAAGAAAAAAACTGATCTTTACAAAAATATTTATAGCAGTATTATTTTGAATAGCAAAAAGATGATAAACTATATGCTCAACAACTCGGTAATGACTGAATAAATTGAGATATGTTGATGTAATGGGATATTGTTCTTAAGGCAAAAATAAATGGTAGCCTATCACTAAACCTTGTGATCAGGAAGAGCTGGGTTGGAGTCCTGCATCTAACATGTACTGGATATTGACCCTAGTCACTAATTTTTAAAAAATGAAATAACAGCATTATATACTGCTTTAAAGTTTGCAAAGGGCTTTATATAAATATGTTAACTCATTTGATCTTCACAATAACCTTGTGAGGTAGATGCTATTATTACCCTCATTTTATAGATGGGGAAACAGAGGCTGAGAGGTCATGTGATTTGCCCAGGGTCACATAACTGGTAAATATCTGAGGCTGGCTTTGAACCCAGGTCTTCCAGATTCCAAGTCCGGCACTCTAAGCACGATACCACCTACCTGCCCCAGGCAACTGTCTAATTCTCTAAATTAAATTAAGCCGATGTTTACCTGCCTTGGTAGTGAGAGTGAGAGTTTCCTCACTGAGTGTTCTCTACACCAAAGAAAATAGAAGGACAGGTCCCAAAAAAGAGGGGCCCATTGGGATGCTGGGAAAGGCACATAACATATGAAAAATTCAGAGACGTATGGGAAGACTGGAATGAAGTGATACAAAGGGAAGCGAGCAAAGCTGAGGAGAAGAAAACATTCACACGTGACTACAACTATGTAAAAGAAGACAATATTGAAATGGCAACAAAACTCTGGCTGAATACAATGGGTGACGTTGTTGCTGCCCAGGCTTATAAAATTTAAAGCAAGCAGCATTTCCTTTTTTTTTTAAAAACAAACTGCAAATGACAAAAGCGGGCAGTTCCCTACTATCAGTTGTAAACACTCCTTTGTGTTGTTTTGCTTTTCAGGAAGCTCACTTTGTGGTTTGTTGGTGTGTCTGTTTATGTGTGTCAGCTGTGTTAAGACAGAATTGATCAATTTAAGAAAGAAAACCTATTTCCTTGAGTGCCTGCCCCCCCCCGCCCCCCATCCCCAGCCTTCTCTTCTCTCCAGCTAAGCTGGACAGGTCAGCTCCCCAGCACTCCCATGCTTCATGTGTCTATGCTTGCCTGCCCCCAACCTCTGCCTCGGTCCTCCCTCCCCCTCTTCTCCAGATGACTTCCTACCCAGCCCTCGAAAGCCAACTCAGCACCAGCTCCTCCCAGAAGCCTTCAGCCCCACCCCCAATTTGGTGATAACCTTTCATGGTACCCTATTTTATAACACTTCAATATATTTGTCATATAATGTTGTGTACTCGAGGTATCTGTGTTTGTATCTTATTCTCCTGCTCAATGGTAAACTCCATGAAGGCAGGAATCACGTCTCTAGATTTTGCATCTTCCCCAGCCCTGGGTGTTTGGGTTCTACAAAATGTTACTTAATAAACGGTTGCTGAATAGATGAATGAATGAATGAACGTCCCTGCCCAACTCCAATCATGACATTCAGTGCAAAATCCCCAAACTCCCTCCAGAATCATTGATAACCTTCAATTATGTTAGCCTACTGGATTTTGGAATATGGCAGAGCCATATTGGGTCCTCAGCCAAGGCTTAGGATTGGAAGTATCAGACCAGCCCCCTGTCTCTTAGAAGGTGGGGGGGTGGAGCTGGTGAGAGAGAGATGTCTTTAGTGTGGCCTGATGCTGAGACCATCTGTGTATCCTTGCTAAATTGCTGTGGATATAAGGTAAACAACTAGACCTCATTGTGAAGAGTTGATTGACAGTGGGTGGTAGATGCCTGCCTGACTCCTCCATAAGAAACCAAATGGCTGAGGTTTCCAGTGAACAATGACCCCTGAGTGTGGGGCGGGGGGAGGAAGGGAATAGCTGTCCAATATCACAGAAACATGAAATATTAGAGTTGGAAGGCACTTTAGGTAAGAGAATCTTAGCACTAGAAGGAATTTCAGGAGATGTAGAATGTTTGAAACAAAAATTAGAATATTCAAAGTGGAAGAAATCTTAGTTAGAGGTGGAAGGGACCTTAGAGATTATCAAGTCCAATTCCTTCATTTAACGGAGGAGGAAAATGAGGCCCAGACAAGTTAATAACTCATCCACAGTCATAATGAACTCTGGTTAGAACCTAGGTCTTCGGACTCCTAAATCCATTGTTCATTCCACTACCTCACCTCCCTCACCCATCTCCACCCAGTACCCTGGTCCCACCCCACCCACCCTCCCACCCGGCTTGTGCACTCACCAAGGCTGAAGAGGATGAGGAACTTCAAGCAGACAAATTCCTGCCTGTCCACCTGTAGAGAGTGCAGTTGCTGTACAAGCTCCTGGGCCCGAAGCACTAGGCTATGGAGAAGAGATCCGGCCTGGACTGCCACTGTTGATAAGTCTACCTGGAGTGAGAGGAAGCAGGACTCAGGATCAGAAGGAAACCACCGGGGTCTCGTAGTCAAATCAAGGGGAGGGACTGTGTGAGGTGATGTAATAGAGAGCACTCTGCATTTGAAGCCAGAGACCCGGCCATGAGAATATTAGTCATGTCAGTTCTTCCTTTGGGTCTCATCTACAAAATGGAGACATCCAGGCTAGACTCTTTCTAGCATCTCATCTGGCTCTAAATCTGTGATCTGAACAGGTATATTTACAACAGACACCACCACCCCTATTCAGGAGGGCCTAATTCTCTTTTCCTTGCAACTACTTGAAAATTTCAATCTCAGCCCCTCCCCCTCCACACCCACATCCACTCATGAACAAGCACACAACCCCCTGTAGAAACTACGGTCCCTGAATATGGCACAGACGTAGCCTGCGAAGGTTTGGGCTGGGAGGGCAGGGAGAGAGAATTTGTAGGTCAGGTTATCCATTGATTGATTTCATTTGAAATCACTCAGAAGTTTTCTAGGTACTGGGTCTGGGATAGAGGGGTGAGAGGCAGCAGCAGTGCATAATGGATAGAAACCTGACCTTGGAGTCAGAGAGATCTGGGTTTGGGTTCCGCCTCTAACACATATTAACTGTGTGACTCTGGGCGTGACTCTGGGCGCCGGTGAGTCACCGCTTCTTGGGACCTCTGAGCAACTCTTTAAGATCCTAACTTACAGAACAGCCGCTTTTCTGAACTGGTTAACGACATTCCCTTATCTAGAATTCCCTTCACCAATGGAATCAGAGATCCAGACTCCCTCCCAAAAAAAAAAATCTGGAGGGAACCGTAGAACATCAAATGACCTGAAAAAGACCTTAAAAATAGTATTTGAGCTGAAACATAGAATGTCAAAAAATAGAATGTTAGGGCTCAAAGGGACCTGCGAACATGTTAAAGATGGAAGGGCCCTTAGAATATAGAATGTTTGACGCAAACAAAACAAAACAGAATGCCATGTAACTATAACATCCAAGCTTGTCCTGGAAGAAGAGATGAGAAAATGCATCTCCCCCTTCTTTGCAGAGCTAAGTTGACTTTGGGTGTGGACTGTCAGACTATATATGTAGGTTAGTTTGGCTGAACTGCTTTTTTCCCCATTTCTCCTTTTTTCTTTGTTACAAGGGAAGGCTCACAGAGTAGAGAGAGGGATAGATATTCAGAAATGAAAATGATATGAGAAAAAAGACCTCAACAAAAATCTATTTTTAAAAGAATGCAGAATGTTTGAGCTAGAAGGGACCTTAGAATATAGAATGTTAGGCCATAGAAAGAATAGACTTAGGGGTCATTAGAATATAAAATATTAGGGAAGAGTTCTCAGAACACAAAATGTTAGAACTAAACATAGAATATTAACGTGAGAGAGTACCCTAGGGACCATTTAACTCCACATCCTCAATTTACAGACATGCAAACTGAGCTCCTAAGGTGGGGAATTGACTTACCCAAAGTCACCCATTGAGTTAATGGCAGACCTAGGAGTGTTTCCAGGTCCTCTGAGTCAGAACAGTGCTGTTTCCACCATAAGAGGTTATTTCGCTCTATCCAGTTCTATGGGGGATCAGGCCAAGGTTCCTTCTCCATCCCCTTTCTCCCAGTAGGGAACCTTGTCATTCTGAGGTTCTGAACTCCTTGTCCCTAGGGTCCAGGATAATGCCTCTCATCTCTGGAAACATGTTGGGGTGGGATGAGGAGACAAGGAAGTGGAGATACCTTGGCATCTTCTCTCCCTCAATCCCACCTTTTCTTTCTTCAGCTAATCTCTCTTTCCCAGGATCCACCACAGAATCTGAGGTCACCCTCCAAGTACATCCTAAATTGTCCAAGTTACTTCTATCACATCATATTACAAAGGAGACTGAAGGCCTGGAGGTGTGAAATGACTCACTGTAGGTCACATATCAAATTAGTGATGGAGCTGGGACTAGAATCCTGGTCTCCAGGATAGACAATCTTCCTGAGCCCAGAGAAATATGGGAGGGAAGGGGAGAAGAAACAAGAAGAAATCCTACTAACAGTATATAATCCAGAACTGCCTAAATTTAATCTTCCCAGGGTGAAGACAAGAACTAGGCAAAATTTTAAAGCTGGATGGGGATCATCTAATCCAGTCATTCTCCAAGTGCGATTTGGCCACCCCTGGGGAGTCCCCGAGACCCTTTCAGGGGGTCTATAAGGTCAAAACTATGCTTATAATAATACTACTAATCTGCATTTCTAATGCAATAAATGTTAATAGATACATCCCACATAAACAGAAGTCCTGGGGGGGGTGCAGTTCTCATAATTTTTAAGATTGTAAAAGGGTTCTGAGACCACAAAGTTTGAGAACCGTCGATCTAATCCAGCCGTTTCATTTTGGAGATGAGGAAACTGAGGCCCAGAGCAAGGCAGTGACTGGCCCAGGGAAGCGATGAGGTCTTCCCTCCCCTGATCCCTTCTTCCACCGCCCCTCGGCTTCCCCGCCACATCCCAGGCCTCTGAGGCAGGCAGGAGCCAAAGCATCAGTGGCTGCACCCAGAGCTGACACTGCCAGCTTCTGAAGGGCCCTCCAGGCACAAAGAGCCCCGAGCCGCCGTTTGCTGTTGTTTGTGAATCATTGTACCTGGTGAATGGGAGCTGGGCTCAGACTCAGCTCCCTGAGCAGGGTCAGGCAGGCCGAGGGGGCGGGAGCAGGCCTGCAGCTCTCTGCTCCTTCCACCACACGGCTCCAAGAAGGCTCTCGAGGGCACACACACACACACACACACACACACACCGCTGCAATGTATATACTCTCCCCCACACAGTCAGGATGTCACATGAATGCACATAGACACATTTGCAACCTTAAGCTCACAGATATACATACTTGTATCCACATATATACTGACACACAGCCACAAGTACACTCACGGCCACAGACACATATGCAAACTCACAATATACCAAATAGTCTCAAATACACAGAAAGTTCTCACAAACACACTGGAAAGCACATTGGATTTGTAGTCAAGCAGCCTTGGGTTCAAATTTCAGCTCATCAACTTACTTCCCTCTGTATGACCTTGGATAAATCACTTCCCTCTCTGGGCCTCAGTTTCTTCATCTGCAAAATGAGGAGGTTGTACTAGATGACCCCTAAAATCCATTATTCCAGCTCTAAATCTATAATTTGTTGTTGTTCAGTTGTGCCTGACTCTTTGTGACCCCTTGGGTCATAGCACACCAATACTGTCTATGGGGTTTTCTTATCAAAGATACTGGAGTGGTTTTTATTCCCTTTTCCAGTGGATTAAAGCAAACAGAGGTTAAGTGACTTGCCCAGGGTCACACATCTACTAAGTGTCTAAGTTTGGATTTAAACTCAGGTCTTCCTGACTCCAGGTCCAACACTCTATCCACTGAACCATCTAGCTGCCGTATGATACAATAATTCACACACACACACACTGCATATTTATTTACTTTTTTCCAAGTCAAGCCCCCAAATTGGGAGATAAATGATGCTGGTGAGGATTAAGACTTCATCTCTGAGACTGCCATGTGTAAGGTTATAAATGAGGAGGCGGCTGGGGGCTTGGTAAAAGAGGACCAAGACACCCTTTGAGCATAAAGCTCTCTCGCTGGATTTGTTGTGATGGAGATTCCATGGCAAGTTCTGAGCCATGGCATTGAAGGGATTCATTTGTGGAACAGAGATTGAACTAGGTGTCCTCAAAGATCCCTTGCAGCTCTGAGACTCCATATTGTAATAGTCTGTGTTGCAGGATCTGTTGTGATATCGCCACTGGGCAGTTACCACTTTGGTGTCCTTCTATTCAGTGTCACGGAAAGATCCCTAGGCTTGAAGTCAACAGACTTGGGTTCCTTTCCTCATGTCATTGATAGAGCTTGAGCAAGTTATTTCCCTTCTCAAACCTTAGTTTTCTCATCTGTAAAATGAGGCTAGTAATTCCTACACAACCCACATAGATCCATAGTGCTTTGGAAAAATGAAGTACTATGGAAATCTATTAGTATTATTATTAATTATCACACTAAAATTCTCTTGAGAAACCCAGCCTCTGTTTCTTGGAGCTAAGGGGGAAAGGAGAGAATATACAAAGTTAGAGACATATAGAAGGGACTGTACCTCAAATATCTGGAACGAGAATAGCCAAAACAAAACAAAACAAAAAAACAACAATGGAATAGAACAGAGAACTGAAAGAAAATTCTATTCCTGCCTGGAATCTTCTCCTTTTGAACTTCACATCCAGCATGTACATCCTAGAGCAGGGATTCAGTCAAAGGGCCGCACTTGAGGACCTAGAGGGCCACATGTGGCCTCAAGGTTCCTCGCCCCTGTCCTAGAGAATGGCAGGCCCCAAAGTATTGTCAAGAACGGGGGAGAGGACAAGGAAGGTGGAGATTATAGGAGGGAGTGGGAAAGAGGAAAAAGTGGTACCTCCTGGCCAGTGACCAGCAGAATGCTCCCCTCCTTCCCATGTTGGATCTGTCTGTAGATGTGGTCAAAGACAAGCAGCTCGCTCCAGCAATTTTGCAGAAGTTTCATCTGGTCAGCCACCTGTCGGAGAGACACAGAGACAATCAATTATCAGGGCAGACCACAAGCTATGAACCCCAGCTCTGTATCCAGAGAATCTGCAGGGGAGGCCTTTAGGGCAGGTATGATTTGGGGTGGCAGCTGTAATGTAGTAGACGGAAGACCAGAGCAGGGGTCAAAAGACCTGGGTTTGAATCCCCCTCTCAAACTTATAGCCCCTCAGGCCCACATTCAAAGACTCTCAGACCCAGTGACTCCTCCTCATCCCCAGCCTTTATAACACAGAATATTTGTTAGAGCTGGACGACACTTCATAGCATGAAATGTTAGGGTTAGGACAGCTTTCAGAACATAGAATATTAGTTTCAGAAGATCTCAGAACAATAGAAAATCAGAACATAGAATATTAGAGATGAAAAAGACCTCAGAACATAAGACCATGTGCTCTGAGATATTAGTGTTAGGAGACAGCTTGGGAGATGATCTGGTTTGAATCCCTCGTATTACAGATGGAGAAACAAAGGCTCAGACAGAGGAAGGGACCAGCCCAAGGTCACATAGTGAATTAAACCAGGTTTTCTGACTCCTAATGAGAATGTACTGTTCAAGAATGGCCATCTCACAGTGGCTAAATCCCTTATGTCTAACAGGACTGGCTGTCAGACCACCTACCTGCCTGTCATGGGGAGAAGCTGAATCAGGCAGAGGTTAGTGCTAAGTAGAGGGGACAGTGTGTGCTCCCTCACTCTCTCAGCCTCCTCCTCTTCCTTCCCCATCTTGCCTCTCCCTTCTCTTCCACTGCCCAACTCCAGCAACTGAACAGGACACCATACAGAACATAAAACAGGGGACCATTGGCCAGCCGAAGGTTCATGGTTAAGACCCCATGATGCTATGGAGTCTGACCTGGGAAACTCAGAGCCAGAGCCCTCGAGATAGAGAGAGAGCCTCAACCCCCAGCGCTATTAGTGCTGGAGCAGAATGAGATGGGAGATAAAAAAGATCTCCTCAAGCCAGTATAGGGGGAAGGGGTCACTGTGACCCAGGCATGTGGAAGCCCCAGAACAGCTACCATACACAAACTCCTGCCCCAGAGATCAGTGCTGGCAAAAGCCAGCTCAGATCTTACTCCTCCTAAGCTTAGCTCTGCCCCACCCCACCCCTCCTTAGCTTAGGACAAAAAGTTTGGGGATGGGAAACAGGAGACCTGGCTTCTATTCCCAGCTCTGCCATGAATCCTATCAATTGTTTCCTCTCTCTGGACCTCAATTTCTTTATAAAATGAGGATAATAATCCTTGTCTCCCACATAAGGTGGCTCTGAGGATAGAATGAGGCTATAGCTGGGAGAGGTACTGCTATATAAATAATAATAGGAGCTTTCTCCATAACAACCCTATGAGGGAAGCAGTGGAAGGATGATTATCCCCATTATAAAGATGAGGAAACTGAGGTCCAGAAAGAGTCAGTAACTTCCCCAAGGTCACACAACTGGACTTGAATCCAGGTATCCTGTCTCTCACAGTCTAATGTAAAGGGCAGGGTAGCCCTAACCCCATCCATTATAATTATGCTTGGAGTGACAGCAAGGGAAACATTTCAGCCTCGTGTTCCTGCTTCAATTTTGACTCACTTCTATGCTTAGTTAAGAGATGGACAAATGGAGCCTTCAGTCAATCAACACAGCATGAAATGGAAAAGATCACTAGCCTGGGAGTCAAAAGACATGAGCCGTAGTCAGGGATGTGCTGGGAAATGTTTAACAAACAACTGGGTGGGGGGCAAGGCCACATTATACTTTAATCTACTATGTTATTTGCATTTTCTCCACCACTTTCTTAAATCTAGACAATCAACAAAACCAGAAGTCAAGCCCTGATTTGTCAGCATTTGTTGACTTCTGAGGTGTAAATGCTCACACTGAAAATTTAACAATCAGCTCAGCATGACTGAACTGGCTCCAACGCATCTCTGTCATTCATTTACAGAGATCTTGGGTGAGTCATTTCCCTTCACTGGGGCTCAGTTTCCTCGTCCTATAAATGTGGAGGGAGATGGACCAGATGATCTCTAAGTCTCTCCCCCCCATCACACACTTTCACATTCTATGTTCTGAGGTCCCCTCCAGCTCTGACACTCTATGTTCTAGGGCCCCTGTCTGCTCAAGCATTACATGATTCTGTGAGTCTGTTAGAAGGCAGGTGGCTGGGACCCTCATTTAACCAAAGACAATTGGTTTAACCTTCATGAGGCTCAAGTTAAAGGTTATTCTCTTGTCCCCGTGTGCATGCCCTACCTCCCCTCCGAAATATATATAAAAATGGCAATTTATAGCCCCTAGGACAAAGTTGGCCACCACTCCCCTGGGCCAGCCCCACTCCCTGCAGCCTACAAGTCCTCCTCTCTGGACCAGGGAAGGCTGCAAATCTTCCCTGCACCTTGACACATCTCATCCCGTCTCGTTCCAGAAGGGTATTTATGGGTGTCACGCTGACCTCGCTCCCGTCGCCCCCACCCCTGGCCTGCCGAGGCCCTCTCACAGCAGACCAGCCCCCAGAGCCCCCTGCACCCTCCATGTTCTGATTAGTCTCCTTGCCGAAGGCCAGCTCGGGTCTGTAATTCTCGGGTGGTTGACATGCTCCCGGCTGGCCCTACAGAGTGGCAGGCAGGGGGCTCATTTGTCAGAGACAGACTGACAGAATTACTGCCCCTTAAATGAAACCATATATCTGGGGAGTTAAATCTGTTGCCAATCGTGGCTCTGGGGGGCTTCAAAGGCCAGACGTGGAGTGTGAACTGATGTCAAAAGGGACTATTAGCCATAACCCTCCCCCTCCCATGGCCCTTCCTTGCTCTCTTTCCAACCTCCTCCCCTTCTTCTCCAGCCTTCAAGATAACACAAGGTTTGCCCAGGGCCTGAGCAGAAAGGAGATTGGCTGGAACTCTCTTGGGCAGTAGGCACAACAGCAGTGGGCAGGCCATTTGAACATAAGAAGTTAGCATGAATTTGCTCCCAAGAACCTTAGCGGAATAAGCATTCACCTGTCACTCAGGAGAGGTTCAGTCCAGCTCTAAGATTTTATGTTCTATGTCCCAAGGTTCCTTCTGGCTCTGGCTCTAATATGCTATGTCCTATGTCTCTTCTGCTACTATGTTCTAAGACTCCTTCTCCTAACACTCTGTGGTCTGACATCCTGTCTTCTAAAGTCCTGTCAGCTCTAACAGCCTATGAGTCAAAGTCGTCTCTCTTCCTGGGGGCTGCCTGTGTAACAGATGTATTCAGGGGAGTAGATTATGTACAACCCTCCTGAAAGAGAGTGAAGGGTGGGGTCTGGGATGCTCTGCCACGTAAAGGAATGGGGCAGAACCTTCCAGTTGCCCTCGCCTTCATCCAAACCTCTGATTTCATAGGCTGCTTACCCCCATAAGGTTCCTGGTGGCTGGTAGGAAAGAATGTGCATGTAGGCCAAGCTGGGGAGAGCATTCTGCACGCCAGGATGGTACTTATCTGCATAGCTGTTTTAAGAATTATGTATGACACTATGCATGTTGTCCAATGGTGTAGAACACTATGAATGTTTTAAGAATATTGTAGGATATTACAAATGGTGTTTCTTGGGCTTAATACTGACCCTGGCAGAGGAGACAGGAAGCAGGAAGGCCCAGCCAATGGAATAGGAAAAAACACTCACCGAAGTAGGCAGAAAGCCTTGCTTCTCCTGGATGGAAACACTCATGGGAATGGCACCTTATTACCCACCCCCTGCACTGGAATACAGAGCTATATAAACCCCAGGTCTGCCTGCTATTGCTGCCCTCTAGATGCCTCCAGCTGAGGCCTGGACATGTGAAAGAAGCCAGGGTCCTTCACAGAAGAAATGATTTGCCTTCCCAGGGACTCTCTTTCCCCCACCTATAACATTTCCAGACTTAGTTGACCCCACCTCACAGCTTCCCCAAACTCCATGCCAGTCCCCATTCAGATATGAAGTATGGCTTATGTTAGTAAACACAGCTTATGCCAAGGCCTCCAGGGCTGTATCAGCCAACTTCCATTCCAGCAGCCACAGAGAGACCAGGACAAAGAATATCTTCAGACACCTCCTTTACCCCCGACCTTCTTACTCCCATGATGGACCATGGCCTCTGGATATGATAGCCCACAGCCCAGGTATCTAAGATAGTAAATGATGCCCCTCCCATGGTCCTCACCCCCACCCAAGAGCAGATGTTATCCCATAGTCCAGCCCACTCCAGTCTTGTGAGCAGATAGGGTCTTTGGTCTGCCCTCTTTTTCCCAGGACAGACATCAAGCTATACCCTGCATGCCCAGAGGAAGCTGTGGCTCTGCAGCCATCAGCCCAGACAAGAGCCAGTCAAGGCTGATCCAGCCCCAGAGCCCAGTTTGGCCTCACTGTTTACAGTCCAGGTCCAGGAACAACAACATCCTGGCTGGCATGGGAAGCAAACACTGATAGGACTGAGACAAACAGTCACTGCCCACAGAGACACCCCCCGCCCTCGTCTGCCTGAAATCAGCAGAGTCTGAATCTCTGAAAGCTGGTAGGGTGCAGACATCTATCTTATTTCCCGCCTCAGCGATAGAATATTGCACCTTAGAATGTTAGGCCAAATGTGTAGAAAGAGAAAATGCAGCATGTCAAAACAGATAAAGTGTAAGACCCCAGAGGCACCCTCTTGAAGTTATTTATCCTGTCCCTCTCCTTGGTCTCTAAGTGGTAGGCATGGGCTTTCCCAGCAGCTCCCTAAGAACCCCATTCCATCTTATTAGGAAGTTTCCATCTTACTGGGAAGTTCTTTATTGTGTCTCTACTGTTCCTGTTGCCTTTCTTCTTATCTCAACCTGAGGGACAGGGAATGGAAGAGAATCAGCCCAGGAATTGGAGGAACAATACCACATGGAGGCCAGGCTGCCTTTGCCAGAAACATTATCAGTAGGAAGATCCCAATTGCCCCATTCTCCTCATTCCCATTCCTTTAGCACATGGAAGACTCATTTCTGTAGGAACTCATAGGATCATAGACATAGAGCAGGCAGGGACAGTAAACGCCATCTAATCTCAACCTTCATTTTATAGATGAGAATGCTGTGGTGCAGAGTGACTTGCCCAACCTGTCATTCCCACCACATCAAAGGTAGGATTTGAACCCAAGTTCTCTGACTCCAGAGAACCAATGATTTTTCCAGTACACCACAATGACTCCTTCTACCAATGCACCAACCCTTCTAGGACTAGGTAGTTTTCCCCTGAGGATTGCTAAGGCCAGAAAATTCATCCATATGCAGCCAACTCAGTAATAAGTTGTCTGTCCCATACTTCATGAGACTGGTCCTGGGACACAGATGCACAGTCCATCAACAAGCTTGTTCCAGGCCTTTTTAGGTTGGTAGGACTAGAGCTCACCTTAACACAGCCTTCAAGACCCCAGGGTCAGAGAAACCTGGGAAGATTATGAACTGTATGCAGAGTGAAGGGAGCAGAACCAGTGGAACAATGTATACAGTAACATATATAATATTTAATAATAACATTATATATACATATGTAAAGATGTGTGTATACATTCACAAATCAATACATATCTGAACACATATGTACATACATACAATAAACATGTATGTATATGTGTATGTATGTGTTAGACATAGCCAACATAGGAATGTAGCCCATGTGTGCACACATTCACACACATATATATGTGTATATTTTAGATATGGTCAGTGCAGGAATTTTTGCTTGACTAAGCATATTTGTTACAAAGTTGTTTTTTTCTTTTTCAATTGGTGTGCAGAGGTAGAAAAGAGAAAATATATTTTTGCATGGGAAAAACAAATTTAATTTTTATAAATTAGGTCACTCCCACATAACAATGCGGAATCAGAGGCAAAGGTTAGTAAAAATGCCCTCCCTAATTCCCTACAAATCCTTGCCATGATACCACACCCCATGATTTCCCTCCGACATGAGTCTCTCCCAAAGATCAGTATATGTGGAGAGAGTTCAACCTGGAAACCCAAATATCAGCCATACTCAATGGTCCATAGGGAAATTTCCCACTTTGTACTGCATAGGCCACCAAGATTTGAAAGCCATGTCCTTTCCTGTGTTGTTCTCCAGCTGTGGGCAGAGCCAGCCAAGCAGGAGAATACACAACAATACAGCCCATTCCATAAGCACAGAGAACCAAAAGGATCCAGGATCCCATTCTGGCTTTCACAGTGTTCAGAGAAGCTGTGGAAAGGGGAAACTTCTGAATTGGTTCTACCTCTTCCGTCAGAGAATCACAGATGGCAGAGATGCAAGAGACCATACAGCTGGGCAGCATCTTAGAAGTCATCTCCTCCAACCCCCTCATTTTACAGATGAGGAAACTGAGGCCCAAAGAGTAATGACTCATCCAACATGACATAATGAATAAATAGCAGAGCCAGACTGCAGTCCAGGTCTCCTTACTCCCAATCCATTGCTCTTATCACCACAGTATATGTCACAAAGATAAGGAGAAAACAGGAGAGATAGACAGAATAGTCATTGGTCTGGAGGACATCTGAGGCTCTTTATCATGCAATTCTATGATTCAAATAAATCAAAGAGGGAAGGGGAAATAAAAATAAGGAAGAGAGGGAAGTATGGAGGAGAGAGAGAGAGAAATTAGAAACAGAGTGGTATATTGGAAAGAGCAGTAGATTAGAAGGCCCAAAAAATAGTGACTAATTACTGCTAATTACTATCTGTCTGATTGCACAAGTCACTTAATCCCTATGGGTCTCAGTTTCCACTTCTGAAAATGAGGATCCTAACATTAGAACTGGAAGGCACCTAGGTTCCTAGGTCCCTTTTAAACTTAGCTAAAGAGAGGAAGATGAGAGAAGAGAGGAAAGGGAGTGGGGCAGTCGAAGTCTCAGAGGGAGCTAGAGAGAAGAAGTCAAAGAGGAAGGCAAGGAAAGAAGAAACAGGAATGCAAACAGAGATAAATGTTGGTTCTGTTCTCTGTCATGTCATAGGAACGTAGACCTGGAAGCACCTTAGAGATACTCAGGTTCACACCTGCCATTTTACAGCTGGAGGATGCTGCCCAGAGGCCCAGGGGAGAGAAGCCACTTACCCTGGCATCACTCAGCTAAAAAGTAACAGAGTCAGAAAAGCCAGCCCACACCTCTGACTCCTAATGCATGCTCTTCCCATGCTGCATCACACTATCAGGTGGGGACTTATTGTTCTCATTAGAACCATCATACTTCTGACCCAGAGAGATACCAGAAAGGGAGAAAGGGATTGAGGAGAAAGAGAGGAAGGAGAAGGACTGAGAGAGGGAGAAAGGGAGGGAGGGAGAAAGATGTGGGAGGAAAGGGGAGAGAGAAGAGAGAGAAAGAGGAGAGGAGAGAGAAAAGAAAGAGATTGGAAAAGAGGAAAAGAGAGAAGAAAGAAGAGAAGCTGGGGGAGAGGGGAGGAAGGAAAAGCATAAGGGGACCATTGACCTTGGCCACTCACCTCTAGCTCTTTGAAGACCACACAGCTCCGAGCCCATTCAACAATTGAGAAGAGGGTCTGGTCAGCCATCTTGCACATGAGGCCAAAAGGTGTGGGCCGGTCAGGCCGGCCCTTGGCAGGCTCCTGTAGGCAGGCCAGGATTCGGGTCTTGAGCTGGCCTTCATCAGGCTCTAACTGCAGCAGTTTGAGGATAAGCTCTGGGACCCCCGGCAGGCCAGGGCCACTGGGGTAGGGCTCTGGGTAGCCATAGGGCGGGGCTGGTTCATGGGGGCTAGCATAGGGCTCTGGATACTCTGACTTGATGGCGCGGCCAGGGAAGGCAGGGTAGAGGTAGCCAGCTAATGGGCCATGAGTGGGCACTGCCATAGGTAGACCTGGGGGACCATAGGGGCCCCGCTCATAGTCACCAGGCGGCCCTGCAGGTGGGGCAGGTGCCAAGCTCTTGGCCCCTGGGTGGAGGGCTGGTGCCAAGGGGTAGTCAGTTTGTGGAGGAGGTCCCATGGGCGGACCCGTCTCAAGCTTGAATCCATTGGCTCGGATCAGGGCCTTCTTCTGCTGTTTTAAGGCACGGTCTCGCTTATACATGGGACCAAACTTGTTTCTCCCACCTCGCATTCGGTCTGCCCGAACAGCTATGGAGAAGGCAAGAGGGATCTTGTTAAGAAGTCCTCCTAGACTGATCAGAGAGAAGCCACCTGGGCGTCCCTTAACTTCTCTCCTCAATCTCCATCCCCCGCCTCCACCCTGACTCTTAGAGGTTAAGAAATGAAAGTATGATACTCCAGATCTGCAACTAACTTACTGCATGACAGGCCATTTCTTCTCTATGGGCCTCAGTTTTCTCATCTACAAAATGAAAGCATTGAACTACATGATCTCTAAGGGTCCTTTTGACCCTAGTGTTCTATGTTTGAAGCTTTGTGTTCCAGTTTTAAGATTCTTTGTTCTAACATCCCAGATCCTGACCATATCATTCCTCTGTGCAAAATAACTTCATTGGATCCCAACAGCCTCTGGGATAAAATACATAGTCCTTAGCTCCTCATTCAAGACCCACAACAATCTGGTTCCAACCAGTCTTCCTGCTCTTCTTTCATGTTATTCCCTTTCATGGAATACTATACATTCTAGCCAAACTGTACCGCTAGCTATTCTTTGAACCTGACACTCCCTCTCTTATCTCCATGCGTTCACACAAACCATTCCCCATACCTGTAAACTCTCTCTTCAAATCTGCTTATCAGAATCTTCATCTCCCTTCAATGCTCAGTTTAGTTCCCACTTCCTCAATTAAGGTTCCCCTGGTCCTTGCTCAAACTCCACACCCACTTCCTAATATAGTGCCTTGTACACAGTAGGCAATTAATGTTTGTTGAATGGAATGGAATTACAGTCCCTTACATCTCTATCATTCTGTATTCTGAGGTCCCTTATGGTCCCACATTCTCTGGTCTTATTCTAATAGTCTGTGTTCTAGGGTTCCTGCTACCTCTGACATTTATACTCTAAGGTCCTTTCTAACTCTGACATTCTCTGACTATGATTCAATTAAATGGAGAATGCCTTACCAACCATAGTTTCACAGCTGTATCATATATTCTCCATTAAAAAATGACCCAAACTCACTCATCAAATGAGTTTCTAAATCTTACTTTAGGTGACTGGCCATCCACCATAGTTGGCATTCTAAGGAATATGACTCTGCCTAGGTTTGGGAACCACTTCACTTTGTAACTTCTAGATAAATTGTTCCGCTGGGCCTCAGATTGTCCAATCCAACTCTGATCTGCTCTCCTAGAATTTAGTAAATGTGGGTGGGGGATTATAGGGAAATAATGCTCCTACTCCTCCTCTTTCCCACTCCAGAAAGGGTCTGGGGCTGCTGGGTGTCTTTTTTTAGGGGAGGAGGGAGCAACATGTCCCATTACCCTATGGGAGGGAAAGCCTTCCTGTATCAAGCCTAGGGATCAGTGTTTTGGGCTCCCCTGAATACTAGCAGGTTTTTTTTCCCCATCTATACTTTGTATCTCCCTGAACATAGTACTCAGCACACAGTAGGTGCTTAATAAATGCATATTATATTACATTGTATACATGTCTCTCCTCCTTGTTAGAAGGTTGTCAGAGCCCTGATGACAGGGAAATGGTTTTACTCATCTTTGTATCCCCTACAGCACAAGACTGGCACATAGTAGGTGCTCAGTAAGCATTTGTTTGAATGAATGCATAAATGGATCTCTATTTCAGTCAAACCTGAGTGAGGCAGCCTCACTGGCCAGCCCTTCTGGAAGCTCTTTCCCCCGGGAAGGCCTCTCCAGTCCCCAGCCAGATGTTCCTCCCACAGCCCAAGAATGTGTCACTTGGCTGGGAACAGGTGCTTCTCTGCAGCACAGCATTTCCTCCTCCCTCCTTCCTCTACTCTGCGCCCCTCCCCTGCCATCTCCCAGCACCGACTGAGAGCCTCATGGGGAACTGGGAGAGCCCTCCCTTGGCCCAAGAAGAGTAGGGGGAGGGAAGGAAGGAGAGAAGGAGCAAGATGAATAGAGGCCTCAATCAGTCACTGTTCTAGGTCAAAGCTAGGGCTGGTCTCTTCTTCCTTTTTCTAGAATCTCCCCTGTTATCCCCTCCTCTGTTTCTGAGACTCACAGAGACAGTATTGCCCAGCCCCCTACCCACCCCCCCACTTCCCAGCCTGTGCTGAGGAATACATGTAATTATGCTGCATTGTGCTGCCATGGAACATCTTAACTAGGAAGTCAGCAGGCATGGGACCTAGTCCTGCATGGGCTGTTACATCACTTTGTGATCTTGAAAGCTTGTATCACCTTTCTAAGATAAGAAGATCTTAGATCTTAGCAACTAGAAGGGATCTCAGAGATCATCTAACCCAAAGCCCTTAATTTTATAGATGAGGAAACTAGATTCTGGAGAAATGAAATAATTTGGCCAAGGTCACACAAATAATGTCAGGTGAGATTTGAATCCTTGTCCTTTTTACTACAATGTTAATGCTCTTTCTACTGTACCCCACTGCCTCCAACTAGGTAACTTCTGTTTGTTTGTTTGTTTAGTGAGGCAATTGGGGTTAAGTGACTTGCCCAGAGTCACACAGCTAGAAATTATTATGTGTCTGAGGCAGGATTTAAACTCAGGTCCTCCTGACTCCAGGGCCAGTGCTCTATCCACTTCACGACCTAGCTGCCCCAAAGTAGGTGACTTCTAAGGTATCTTCCAGCTTTAAAGTTCTTTGTTCTAACAGTTAATGTTCTTAGGTCTTCTCTAGCCCTAACAACCTATGTTCTATAATTCTAAGGTTTTTTTGGTGCTAACATCCCATATTCTATTGTTCTTTGAGTTGTGAATTATGAACTTTCTGTCTTCTCCCCTCACCCAATGGAGAAAAGGGAATTTGGAGGGGCTTGAAAATGGATTCGTGCCATTTCTTATATCCCCTGTGTAAAGAGGAGCACAGTAAAAACCAGCAGAGTCAGCATTGCAGCTTGGCAGTCTGAAGAAACCTCTCTGGATCATCTTCAGTGCTCAGCTCAGATGCTACCTCCATGGAATATTTCCTGACCCTTTCCCTTCCCTCTCCTCCCTTATCATACCAAAAGTGATCTTTCTTTCCTCTGAGCAGTCCTTATAGTATTTTGTTTGTGCCTTTCTTCATCGCCTTATCAAGTTCTTTTGTGTACTTTTGTTATTTGCATATTCTCATCTCCCCTTCTACAAACTTCCTGTGGAAAGAGGACTTATTCATTTATTTACTCATCTTTGCACCACTTCCCCCAATGATGAGTCATTGTAGGTGCTTAGTAAAGTTGTGTTTGGATAGACAAGTCGATGGATTTCTAATTTAGTCAAACTATTTAGTTCTCAAAGTGAGACGTTCCAACTCTATACCACATGGGTTTCTTTGAGCCAGTGACATGATCATGTATCTCTAATGTCAATATCTGGAAGAAGAGTCTGATCATGTCATGAAGTTTACATATGCCAGCCCTGTTCCAATACAACTGATTTGGATACCAGAAGGCATCCTATGCTTTTTAACTCTTTCATACTCAAGAGACAGTGTGCCATAGTGAGAGAAGTGATAGATTTGAATTCAATAGACCTGTGTTCTACTCTCAGCTCTGACACTTTGCTAGCTGTGTGAACAATGAACAAATCATTTCCCCTTTCTCAGTTTCAGTTTCCTCATCAGTAAAATGGGGATAATAATATTTGCACTCCCTGACTCATGCTGAAGAAATAGCTTTGAAAAGCTTAAAATGATACATACATTTGAGTTGTCCAATCTACTGGGGTCTTTCTCCCAGACTCAGGTAAAAGTCCTTAAGGGAGGAGGCTTATCAGTGTCCCTTGATCCATAGAGAATCAATGAAAAGGACTTTAGAATACAGAACACAAGAGTTGGACAGAAGGGATTTTCGATGTGGAATCAGGAAATGGCTCCATCCAAACCAACCTCTCTCATTTTTCATAGAAGGAAATGTCAGATTCCTTATCCAAGGAAGGTCACACTGGGCTAGGAGAAGTAGAGCCCAAACTTAATGGTTCATTTTCCCTGACTCTTATCACTACACTAGCTGTCTTGGTAAGTTAATGAAACCCAGTTTCAGAAAATTCACCTATGATCTCCAGAGGTCAGGATTAGTACTGATCACTACCCCCAGAACAATGTAGACTCCAGTCAGAAGCTCTCTTTTTATCATTGAGGTCTCCTTCCTCCAGGGTCCCCATCACCTACCTGCCCCTCCCACTCATTGAACTGGTCAAGTTGGGAACCTCCCAGCTCTCTTCACCAGCTTTCCTAGCCCTCCTCTCTCTTTACAATAAACTCAATTCTTCCTCCCCTTCTACACCCTGCAGAGTGGGGCTGGAGAAGGAGGAAGCAGGGACAGAGAAGAGTCTATGGTTAGGACATGGACCAGGAGCTAGGGCTGGGGTTGGGACCGGAATCACACCCACCTTCCAGCCGCATCCCCACAGTCAGGCACTTCTGGAAGCGGCAGTAGGGGCATCGTTTACGCTGTGTCTTGTCAATCTTGCAGTTCTGGCTCTCGGTGCACGTGTAGTGTTTGTTATTCTGTACGGTGCGCTTAAAGAACCCCTGTGTCCCGAGGAGATACGAGGCAGTTAGCCCCCGAGTCCGGGAGGGGAAGCCAGATGAGGGAGGAGGGGGAGAAAGCACCTGCGCAGGGGAGAAGCAGCTGGGAGAGGATGATGGAAGAAACTGTGGGAGGAGAGAATAAGAGGGGAAGAGGAGAGAGAGATTACAGGAAGAGGCCTGAGGAAAGGGTTCTGAGAGATGAAAAAGGACAAGGAGGATGAAGGAGAAGACTGAGAAAAGTGGGATAGGAAATGAAAAAAGGGAGCGCTGGAGGACTGGGAAACTGACCAGGGAAGAGAAGAAAGGACTGGGGAAAGTTGAAAGGATAAAAGAAGATGGGAAAGGATGTGGGGAAAGAGGAGAGGACCCAAGAATAAAAGGAAAGGACCCCGGAAAGAGGAAAAGATGCAGAGAGTGAGAAGAGGTTATATGGAGAAGAGAGGACAAGGGGAGAGATTTAGGGAGTGAGGAAAGCACGTGGGAATCCAAGAGATGTAAAGAGAGTGAAGAGACCAAGAGGTGAGGAAAGAACGCCTAGGGACAGGGGAGGAGACTTAGGGATAGGAGAGGGGACGTTGGGAGAGTGTGGAAAGATAGGGGAGAAGGCACGGCAAAAGGGAAGGGGAGCTGGAGAGAGGACTGGGGAAAGGATATGGATAAAGGACAAAAGGAAGTACTTTGAGAAAACAGAGAGAAGGAAAAGAAGTCGAGAACGAGGAAATGGAGAGAGGCAAGAATATACAGGGAAAGAAGAGAGGATATGGGGGGGGGGGGATTGGGGAAGAAGACACAAGGAAAGAGAATGAGGAACAGGGTTTCCATAGTTAGGCCGAGATTGGAACACGTCAGCAGGAAAGCGAGGAAGCTCAGAGTGCCCCGGGAACTGCTTTAGCTCTGGGTGAGGAGACACTCGGAGCAGGGAGCTGGGAAGGCGGTTAACACACTAGTACGGACCAAAGAGGGGCTGTGCGAAAGAGAAGCTAGCGTTCTTTGCGCAGGCAGAGGAGCTTGTTCCAGGCTAGTTCCTCGGCGCGCAATCGGCACCGGAACGCAGCGAAAAGGCTTCTATGCAGCTCCGAGGAAAGATTCGGGTCCCGAGGTTGGGTGAGAGCCAGGTACGAGGAGGTGACAGGGTGACGGTCCGTGTCCCCAGGGACCTCTTTTTGACCTTGAAGGGCAGTGGCTCCCAGAACTAGCCCAGACTCTTCCTGACTGGAATTAAGGGGATTGGAGAGAAAAAAGGCTCTCCGCAATTGACTTTCGCAGGTCCCAGGAAACCGGGCAAGATTCAGAACGGGGCAGGTACCCACTTCTAGCTGAATACTAGACAGGTTAACAGAGAAGACCTTGTGTCTGACGAATCCCAAATTTATTCTTGCCCTTACTCGGGACTGGTGGGTGGTGGGGCTGGATTCAAACGGCAACGGAATCTGGGCCTCTTACAGAGCGAGTCGTGAGAGGGTTGCAGTCCCATCCCTCGGGGCTCTTAGGTCCTTCACCGCCACCCTCGGGACCAAAGCCTCATTCGGAGAGGTGGATGTGGGAAGGAGGAGCTGTCCAGAGTCAGCGCTTCCAACGCTGTTAAGGCCAAGCCACTGTCACCTCACTGTCCCGCCACGGTGCCTGAGTGACTCCCCTAAGCACCGCAAGTTCATCTTTAGTGTTGGTTCTTATACCCCCGTCACCTGTCACCTTCTTTTTCTCTCCGTCTGTCTCAGTCCTTACCGCGATCCAGCCACACCCCACCCTCTCCCTGTCCTCTTCCTCTTTCTTGGGCTAACCTAGCCCCGAGCGACCCGCGGTCCTGTCCTGGTCACTCCAACAGCTCAGAGCACCCACTGGTTACTCCTCCTCCCTTCCAACCACATTCCTCTTCTTCACCCCCCCCCCCCCACACCAGGTCTGTTAGCATCCCTCCTCTTCCCTCTTTCCTGGATGGCCAGGCCAGATCCCGTCGGACTGGCCCAAACTATCCAACCCACTGTGTCAGCTGGCCAAAGCACTCCTTTCGCCCTCTCCATTTTTCTCAGTCGACCGGGTCAGTTAGCGGCCCTTGGTCCTTTCTGCTACTTCTTGAGGGTCCTTATCTCTCTCCTTCCCCATTGCTAACCCACCTTGACCAGAGTTCCTCTGTCACTGTGCTGCCTGGCCGTCATCCCTCCCTTCACGATCATTTGCTGTAGATCCCTGCCTGTCAGTGACCCCACCAGGACTCCCCTGGGCCTCCCCCCACACCCCGAGTTCGTCCGAATCCCTTTCAATCTGGCGGTCGGCCTGCGGGGGCAGCTCACCTTACAGCTCTCGCAGGTGAGCAGCCCATAGTGGTATCCGGACACCTTGTCTCCGCACACCGGGCATAGCTCGTCCAGGTCCTCGTCGTACGAATAGTCCATGCCCTCGGCGGCTGCCTGGAGGGGGTGGGGGGAGAGAATAGGGAAAAGTCACCACAGAGCGATCACTGGCAGCCCAGGGGCTGAGGGTACAGAACCAGGGAAGGGGCAGGGGGCGGCGGCTCAGCAGAGCCAGGAGTGGCTCAGGGCTACTGCGGAGCCTTTATAGCCCCCGCGGGGCCCTGGAGAGACCAGCCCTCCCCCCCCCGGGGGGTTCCCTCCCTTTTCTCTCGCCTCTCCCGCCCCCGGGGGGGGGGGGGCGGGCGGGATGGCGGGCGGGGCGCGCAGTCTAAGGGGACTCAAACTGGGTTTCGAGCTGGGCCTCTGGGGATCCAAGTAGCCAGAGACAGCACAACATAGGGCCTGACCTCGATCCTTGCCAGGGGGACAGCCAGAGCCGTCGAGGTAGAAGTTTGCAAGCCAATGAGCTCCTCTGGCAACAAAAATCCCCCAAGACCGAGTCAAGCGCTCTTCTAGCTAGATGGGGACTAGATGAGGACCAGCTACCTGGAAGAAAAGGAAGGGCGGTGGAGTAGGAAAGAGGGAGAGACTATGAGGGGAGACAAGTCCTGAAATCGTGGCAAAACAGAATAGGTGCTGGTGTTGGTGAAACCCAGGGCAGATATAGTGACAATGGGCAGAAACAGGGGTGGTCTACGGGTAGATTCAGAACAGAGACAGAGATCTCTGGAAGAAAGAGAGAGACCCAGAGCAGAAACAGAGCCAGTGCACGTTCGGAAACAGAGGCTGGAAGAGGTAGCGACAGATATTCCTAAGAAATGACAACGGAAAAATAGTCAGAAGAACACACACACACACACACACACACACACACACACACACACAGAATCAGAGATGGAGACTGAGAGAGTAGAAACACCGAAATATGGCCTCCAGATAGAGATGCTGAAGCCGAAAAAATGAAACAGAGACATTCAGAGGGGATTGGGGGAGAGGCCCAGCCTCGGTGGCCAGGGCTTATAGACTAGGGCTGACTGAATCAAAGACCCCAAGAGAGATAGAGACCAAAGAATGGTTATGAAGACAGAAATAAATACATGCAGACAGGGAGAGCGAGACTCCGGACAGAGATCAGAGTTAAAAGTCTAAAGAGAGGCACAGACACTGAGAGAAACTGAGGCGTAAGAAACACAGGTGCACAGCAATAGGAGAAAGATAGAGACTTTGGGGGCTAGGGGAGGCACCTTAAACAAAATTACAAGGACGAGAGAGTAGAGCCAACGGAAGAATGGAAATGGAGACAGAGACACAGCAGAGACTGAAACAGAGTACCCAAAGCAGGACAAGGACTGTGGGCAGAGACAGGGTGGGAGAGAGAGACACGGGTAACGACCGAAGGGTGGCAACGGAGGCAGAAAAGCAGAAACAAAGACAAGAGAGACAGAGACAGAGACTTGGAGAGAGAAGTGGGTATCGAAGAAAGGCATAGAAACGCAGAAAGAGACGTGAAGGGTTAGCAACCGAGATTCAGAAAGAGACACACAATGACAGAGACGTGAGAGACAGAGATAATACGCACAGAGACACGTCCAGAAACAGCAGAGACCGAGGAAAGGACATGGAAACAGAGACATTGAATTCAGAGAGACAGAGACACTGACAGAAGCAGGGAAAGGGAGGGATGGAAACGGACACAGACAAACAGACGGAGGCAGAGACACACACTGAGATACAAGTGACAGAGACATTAAAACGGGCACGCAGAGATGGAGAGACAGAGACAAACAGCAGCAATCGTCAGAACCAGAGAGACAAAGTCAAAAACAGCAAACGCAGAGACAAACACACAGGGACAGAGACATGAGATCCAGGGAGGGAGACACTGCCAGGGAGAGAGACAGAGACATCGAGAGACACAGAGCCCTACAACTGCAGCAAAGACAAGAGTCCAGAGCCAGAAAGCTCGTCTGCCTTGGAAGGACTCTTCCCGGAATCCCTGCAGCTGGGGCCCTGACAGTAGGGGGAAGCTGAGTGAGCCCGGGATCCGCCCGCCCCGTCCCGGTATCCAACCCCGCCCGACCCCCAGTCCCTAGCCTGCCTGCTCCTCCACCTCCTTTCTCTCTCGGTTGCCCTGTGGGGCTCCTGGGCCCTCTCCCTCTCGGGGTCATAGGCGCTGGGACCCACCTGCCCAGACGAACACCGGCCGGCTATAAGCCGCACCCCGTCCGGCAGCTGATACTCGGCACTACAGCTCAGCTCCGGGGAGAGTCAGCTCCGCGGTGCTGGCAGCCCCTGGGGGCGGGGGCGCAGGACTCTCCTGGGCGGCTTCTATCTGGGGAGCTCTTCTCCGCCCCCCGGCCCCGGCCTCCGCTTCCTCCTCAGAGGGGGGAGGGGGGAAAAAGCCCTACCGAACACCAAGCCTCTACATATAAGCCGCCACATCACTGCCCACAGCGACCCCCATTTTCAGAAGAGCTTGCTGGGGACCGTGATTCTTCGCGGCAGGGGAGCCCCCAGATTTCTGTTGCAAATGGAGACTAGGCATGTCTCATACACCTGTAAACACGGTATTCGTTCTCTAGCTAGACTCAGAAAGCATAGTCTGGGGTATCAGATCCATGGACCTCACGCCCTCCCTCTACTTAGACCTGTGTGATCTTGAGCAAGTCACTTAATCATATTGGACTCTGTTTTATCCTCTGCAAAAATGATTGTCATACAACATGATTTTTGAGATCCATGTACTATGTTCTAAGCTCTAACATTCTATGTTCTAAGGTCCCTTTCTTCTTTGGCTTCCATGGTCTCTGATTTAAGGTTCTTTTCAGTTTTACCATTTTATGTTATAATGTCCCTTTCAGTTCTGATGTGTTCTGACTCTAATATTGTATATATTTATGGGCCCTTTCAGTTTTAATATTCTAGGTTTCAAGGTCTTTTCCGATTCTCCGTCCTAAGAGCCTAAGATCCTATCTCTGAGTTGGAACCCCTAACCCTGCCGCCTGCACTTCCCTCTGCCCTTTCCATCTGTGGCCGAGAAAATTTGGGGTACTCAAAGATTCGATGCTCAAGCATCAGGGTTTAGCTCTGGGGGCAGAATACGGCCTTCCCAGCTTCATCTTTGGGAAAAAGAAGAAAATAAAAATCCCATCAGTTTATACTCCTAACAAGCACGAATCAGCAGTCTCGGGACTGTTTGCAAGCCTGACTTAGACTAAAGGGGTGTTTGGTTTGGTAGTTTTTGTTCTTACGTTTTCTTCGACGTTTATTCAGTTGGGGGGGGTTGTCTGAGACCAATGGGGGTGAAGATGTGGGAGGAGACACACCCCAAACCCTGCACGGCGGAGAAGGTAAGACACCAGAGCGGGAAGAAATGTTCCCAGCTAGGGATGAAGCCCAAACTCCATTCCTAAGTAACTCACACCCCCCCCCAAAAAAAGTAACCCTGAGACTCAGAAAAGCCGGACGCTGAATGCTTTGAAGAATGATCCTGCGAACATTTGATGAGAAGATCGAAAGAGTCTGAGGGGAAGGAGGGGAAAAGCCTAGCATAACAACAACAAACATATATACCACTTTACATATCTGTACTAGCTTAGTGATTCCTAGCAGGTCACTTTTAACCTCTCTGTGTGCCTCAGTTTCCTCATCTGTAAAATGGAGAGGGTTGGATTAAATGACCTCTAAAGTCCTTTCCAACTCTAGTAGTCTACACAGGCCACTTCCCTTCTCTCAGGCTCAGTTGCCTTATCTGTATAATAGGCATAAAAATCCCTACACAAGGATACACAAGGATATTTTATTTCACTAGGCTGCTAGGACGACAGAGCTTTGTCAATCTTAAAAAAGCTTGAAATGTGAACTATTGTTATTCAACTAAGAGTGAATGGAGTCGTGGATTGAAGACTGGCCTTAGCTTCTGGAAGAACAGCAATTAAATCCTTACTCTTTTTATGCTAGCAGAATAGCAAGCCACAGTCTCTGAATGACTCCAGGCAACGTTCTAGATTACAGACGGGTTGCTGATTTGCATATGTGGAGAGAGTACCCACACTGAGAATTCCCTACTCAGATGAAATCACGGGTCCAGGAGTTAGATATGTGTACACAAAACATACATATGTGTATACCCTGGACAAGTCACTTAACCCTGCTTATCTCAGTTTCGTCATCTGTAAAATTAACTGGAGAAAGAAATGGCAAACCACTCCAGTATCTTGGCCAAGAAAACCCCAAATGGGATCACGAAGTATCAGACACGACTGAAACGACTCAACAACAAGAATATACACGTATCTGTGTACATATATACGTGATTTTATATTTTCAACAAATACTTAAGCGCTTTTTGTATACAATATTCTTTGCCCGAAGCTCGGGGAGATATAAAATGTAGCTAAAAAAAAATTTCATTTGAGCTTCCAGATAAGCCTATGTGATGGCAGAGCTATTGAAAAAAAAAAAAGAAAAGAAAAAAGACGAGTTATCCCATTTCACAGAGAAGAAAACTGAAGGCCAAAGAAGAGAAAGGAGCGTCGTCCCGACGCGTGATTGAGAGCTAAAGAAGGCGTCGGGACTCGAATCCAGGGTCATCCTACTCGTAACATCTCCAGTTCTTTTCACTACGCTCGGCTGCTGCTAAACGTGCTACCACAGAAGGCCCGGGAACGACTTGCAGGTGAAGAATGCTCTCTCTTTCCCTTGGCCTAGGAGAAGAAAGAGGTTCTGGCAGGGGGGGATTCGGGGATGGGGTTTCAGGTAAGCAAGGTCCGAAGCTCCGAGGCCTCCCGTCGGCTTGTGTGGTGTATCTTCCCTCAAGCCCCAGAGAGAAAGCGCAATAGGAGTGGAAGCCCCTTTCCACAGACTTGGGAGTGAGTGCGCACCATTTCAGACGCGGGCAGCGTCTAAGACCAGGAACGGCTCTATTCGTGGCGGCTCCGAAACCCCTTCCTCTAGCCTCCCCACGGACCCTCGAGATGTGGAGCCACAGTCTGCTTTTTAAAGTCTCTGTTTGTGTAGCTCTTCCAACCTTAATGAGACTCCGAGGGAAGGCGGGACAGGAGTGATCCCCATTTAACAGATGGAGAGACTGAGGCCGGGAAAAGGCTCTTGGGACCACAGATTAAGGACTTGAAGGGATTTTAGCTCACGTAGAACATAGCGTCGTGGAGCGAAGGTGCAATGACTCGGAGAGCAGTGGGCCAGAGTTGAGGCCAGGTTCTCTTGCTGCTGTGATTCTGAACAAATTCCTTAACCTCTTTGGGCCTCGATTTCCTTCTTCGATGAATAATAACAATATAATAATAATTAGCATTTAAGATTTGCAAAGCGCTTTACATATATTTTTTTAAATATATGTAACTATCAATGACAGAGGCAGCACATATATCATTATCCCCATTTGACAAAGAAAGGTGTTCAATAGAGGTCGGAAGAAGAGACGTGACTTGATCAGTCCCACGGTCAGTAAGTACTCTAGTGTTTCTAGTGCCCCACAGGCTGCAGCACTCGAGGGTGAAATTAGGGCATCTAGCTCGGAAAGTCTGGCCAGAGTTAAGGGCCCTGGGGCAGATTTAAAAAAAAAAAAAAAAGGTAGCTAGATATATAGATCGGATTTCTTTAAGGACTGATGTCATAGTCTAAAGTTTAGATTCCCAAGCGTTCCTTGCCAAATCACCGTAGCCGAAGACACCGGAGAGCAAACGTCTGGTGTCTGAAAAACTCGATCTTTACATATATAAGCAGCCACTATGGGTGCTACCGGAATAAGAGGTACGGCAGATTGCTCATTACTGCAGCATTCTCCTGAACAGTGGAGGGTAATCCCCGGCCCCTGTTGCTTTTCTTGGCTCTGCTTTAGACGGAAGTGAAAAAAACTTGGGGCTGGCGTGGGGTGAAGGGGTTGTGGGAGGGTAGGAGGTGTTCAATCTCTCGGTAGCAATACAGTAGTCCTAGTTGACTCACCTTTCCAAAGTCGCCCCAGGTGAATCCTTAGCCCATCCTCTGAATCCCACTCCCAACATATGATCGTTCCCTTTCACCTGGGATCAGAAGAACCTGTACCTGGCACCAGGGAGACTAAGTCCATGGGAGACTCAATGAGCCTCTGCAGGTCTCTGTCTCTGTCTCTCTGTTTCTCTCTTTCTCTCTCTCTGTCTCTTACACATGTCTTTGTACTGACACACCGACATAGATACACACAGGTGGATACACGTACATACAGGCTCCTTGAGAGTAAGAGGTGTCTCATTTTGTCTCCTCCAGCATGTAGCACAGAGCTTGACATAAAGTAGGAACTTTATAAATGCTTGCTGAGTGATTGAATGCCAGACACATAGAGGCAGATGCAGATATATAAACGTAGGGGGACATATGAGGACATATCTTGGCACGCAAATATACACAGACACAAAATCTTGAGTGATAGATACACAGTGAAATAGACACACAGGCAAACACACAAACACAGGGACACACAGATACAGTCAGATACAGATGCACAACCATAGATACACACACACACAGAGGAACAGAAACAGAGACACAGACACTTATACTACCAATGAGTGACATGGACACAAAGGCACATGGCTAGGGACACACAGATCTTAGACACATTAATAGCCCTATCCATAGACAAACACTGTTAGACACAGATGCACATAGAGACACAGAGATAGACATGCAACCAGGAAGATACAGATAGATACATAGACACACTCACTGATACAGACATCTCTCCCCCATCCCACAGGGAAGGAAGAGAAAGCTCAGAGTCCTGGGAAGAGGCTTATGGGTAATCAGAAAGAAAGAGTGGGGCTGGGGCTCAGAGATATGGCTGCCACACTCAAACCCATTCCCCTACCCACATTACCTCCCAGGGAAATGTCTCCTGTGGCACAATGTTCTAAGTCTAGCCTGGTACAAGGTGCCTTGTTTTTTTTCATGATGGCAGCAAGCAGCAATGAGGACTTAGTGGCATGTAAAAATTAATAATAGTAATAATAAACCTCCAATGGGGGTGGGGGCACAAAAACACAAAAGATGTTTCCTCTCTAGGTGGAATTAGGTTAGGAGGTAGGAGAATGTCCAGCATTCCAGACTAGGGGCATTGATAGAGTGCTAAAATGGAGAGTGTTAGAGCTGGAAAGGTCTTAGCACATCAAATATTGCAGTTGGAATGGATCTTGGACATCGTGGAATTCACACCCATCATCTTAAAGGTGAGAAAATGGAGGTCTGTAGAGTAG